TGTGTGTGCTGGGCTGCAGCTGGATGACTCCATCTAGTGGAGTGATAGTAGAAGTAGAGCAGCTGCTGTCTGACTGCATTCAGCTGACACTGATATGAAAGAGAAAATAACAGCAGCTGATCTTTTGACAGGAGAAATGATGTAAAGGAGGATTTGAGTTGATGTGCAGATGAATGATGTGTGTTTCCTCTCCAGATGAAAGTGTGTGTGAGTTGAGCAGCATGAATCGGTGTGAGGACAGAGAGGAGGGAGTCCCTCCCTCTAAAACCACTCTGTGTGGGGAACATGACAGCCAGACCAAAGCTCAGAGGTGAGATGAGGATCTCTAACTGTCCATGACTCTTCTCCATGTCACAGCTCAGCACTCAAACCTCTGTGTGTGTGTTGTGTTCATAATGAATTCATGTGTCCATCAGGATCCATCAGAGACCAGACTCTGCTGGACCTGGACCTGGACCTGGACCTGAACCCAGCTGTGTGTCCTTAAAGAGTGACCAGTCTATATGTCGCTTCATTAATTTTAACCAACAGCAACCTTGTGCTCAAAAGAGGTAAACTGTACGCATTTTTGCTATCTAACAGCTTTCATTTCACACTTGTATCATTTTACAAGGTTTTAGAACATTTTTCAGGTCTGACCTTGTAATATTGTCATTTAACTTCCACATGACCAAGGTGCTTATTTAGACATGAGACAAACCAGCCTGTTCTCATTCCCAAGTCGTCTAATTCCACTGTCAATCAGTGACTTCAGCATCTGACATCAATGCAAAAAGGCACCTTTGGTGGTACAATACTCTGACGGATGGCGTCAGTTTGAAATGCCGCCAATAACAAAGTAATACAAGGAGCTGGGAAGTCCCTATAGGGCAGATGGGCGGGTCCAACAAACCCCAGACTTTCACCCAGGAGCCCGTCGTTCACAATCTGTGTAAATGTTGTTGTTTAGTCACTTTTTCATCCGATGTAGCAATTTTATTTTATCTTTTATTTTTCTATTATTATCTTTAATTCTTATTTTTTTATTTTATTTATTTTTCTCATTAATCTTATTCTATTTAATGTCTTTGATTTTGTCTTGTGCTGCTGTAATACTTGAATTTCCCCCCAGGGGGATCAATAAAGTATATCTTATCCTATTATCCTAACCATATATGGAAAAGAGACATTTTATAGTAAATTACTGGAGGACAATAGAGAAAACATGAAAAATACATGGAAAGTAATAAATAGTTTACTGAAAAATAAGACATCAGAATCAGAATATCCTAAATACATTATGAAGAGTAGCAACCTGTGTATAGACAAAAAGGAAGACATTGCTAGAGAATTTAATGATTTTTTTTTGTTAACATGGGACCAAAACTAACTGAGGATATTATTGAACCACAACATACAGAAGGGATGGAAGAACTAGTAATGATAAAAATAATAATATACAGACTATGTTTCTTAATGCTGCTAGTAAATCTGAAAACAGTTCAAAACTGTAAAAGCAAAATATTAACAGACTGTGATGGTATTGATATGTCATTAATAAAGGAAACTATTGATTGTGTGGTCAAACCTCTGACACATATTTGCAATACTTCCTTTAAAACAGGGATATTTCCAGACCAAATGAAGGTGGCCAAAGTAATACCATTGTTCAAAACAGGTGATTAAAATGAAATATCAAATTACAGGCCAGTCTCACTACTTCCGCAAATTTCAAAGATTCTGGAAAAACTTTTTGTTAAAAGATTGGATAGTTTTATGGATAAGCACAATATTCTGACTGACCATCAATATGGTTTCCGACAAAACCAGTCTACTGGACTTGCATTAATGAAATTAGTGGACAAATTAACCACAGCCATAGACAAAAAGGAAATTACAGTAGGAATTGTTATTGATCTGAAAAAAGCCTTTGATACCATAAACCATAAAATCCTAATGAGAAAACTGTTCAAATATGGTGTCAGAGGAGTGGCCCATTCTTGGCTTTGCTCTTACTTAAGTAACAGAATGCAATATGTTTCAATTGATCAAAATGTTTCAGACTCCCTGGAAATCCTCTGTGGTGTACCACAGACACCATTTTTTCTATTCTGGGAGTAACTTAAAAGACATTGTTAAAACTGTTGAACAGGAAATAAAACTAGTCAAGAAATGGTTTGATGTAAATAAGTTGTCCTTAAATACAAGCAAAACAAAGTTTATGATCTTTGGAAACTGCAAGATTAATGAGGTTAAAGAATTGATTATGTGGAAATAGAAAGAGTGAATGAAACAAAATTGTTGGGTGTCATACTGGAGAGTAAATTGAGCTGGAAAATGCATATTAATCATGTAAAATCACACACACACTCAATCAGTCTTTATTTTACAGAGCCATACAAATCATCACAAGATCACAGTACAGAGAGCACACTAATGGTTTAGTTGTAAAATTAAGAGCACTTAAATTCCAGGATTTAGTAGATTGCAAGATTGCGCAGATAATGTATAAAGTTCACAACAACTTGTTGCCGAGTAAAATTGTAAATATGTTTGAAAAAAAAGATTGTAAGTATGAACTTAGAGGAATATGTATATTTAAAAAAATAAAAGCTAGGACTAATATTAAATGGATGTCCATCTCTAAAAAGGGGGTGAATTTATGGAACAATCTTGAGGATGAATTGAAATTATGTGAGACAGAGCAAAGATGATTGATACATACAAGCAAAATGTTTGATTTTTGGGAATTAAGTATTTTAAGTGTTGTGTGTTTGTTGCTGCGGAAAATTGTTGACTGGTGATGTGTAATCAGTTGGTATTGTTGCCTTTGCATTTCAACTCGAATAGGAAATGGTGTAAATTATGAATCTTCACAAAATATATTTTGTCTGCTAGTTGTAACTAGGTGAGAAGTTAGGCGTCATAAGCTTATAGCTTCAGCCTACACCTTTTTCGGTTAAAATTATGAGAGATACTGCGTTGTGCTGCATTGTGCTTTTTGTTGAATGACCGAAATAAACATAAACATAAAGATAAACCATGATGTTGTGTTTTTCTGAACCTAACCACATGCTCTTGTTGCACAAGGAAATAAATGTAAATACGAGGTGTTTAACTGACATTGTAAGTTTATTTTGAAAAAGACTGTATGTGTCTAACAAGCAGAAACTGTACATTTGCTGTGAAAATGGAAGTGTATTTTGAAAAGACACAATGCATGTGACAGGCAGAAATTGACACGGCATCACAGAACATCAACAAAAAGGAAGGATACCTAGTGCGTCATGTGTAGATGTGAAAGTGCGCCGACATAACTGATATTTGACAAGTTGGGATGAGAACATGGTGGACAAACATATTAAATCACCATCAGATTAACATAAAGGAGTGTATCTCTAAAAGTGTCCAACTGTCCATGACTCTTCTCCATGTCACAGCTCAGCACTCAAACCTCTGTGTGTGTTGTGTTCATAATGAATTAATGTGTCCATTAGGACCCATCAGAGACCAGACCCTGCTGAACTTGGATGTGGACGTGGACTTGGACCTGAACCTGAACCTGAACCTCATCCTAAACCTAAACCTGGACCTGGACCTCTTTTTAAACGCTATGTTTATTTTTAGCATCGCTCTTCTTCTTCTTCTTCTTCTTCTCTGGTGTTTGATCCAATATTCTCTGTTTTTAATGCCTCCACTCCGTCAACAGCTGTGGCTGGATTCTCTGGGTTTCCTTCCGTCCGTACGTCTCATTCCCGTGAACATGACATCACAGAAACATTCATCTTCTAACCGCTTCATCCTCTTGAGGGTCGCGGGGGGGTGGAGCCTATCCCAGCTGACATCGGGCGAGAGGCAGGGTTCACCCTGGACAGGTCGCCAGACTATCGCAGGGCTGACACATAGAGACAGACAACCATTCACACTCACATTCACACCTACGGACAATTTAGAGTTATCAATTAACCTGCATGTCTTTGGACTGTGGGAGGAAGCCGGAGCACCTGGAAGAAACCCATGCTGACACAGGGAGAACATGCAAACTCCGCACAGATGGGCTCCCACGCCCGGGATCGAACCGGCAACCGGCTGTGAGGCGAGAGTGCTAACCACCACACCACCGTGCCGCCCCATCACAGAAACACTGTCAGGGAATTTCTTCAGATTTGGCACAAACGTCCACTTGGACTCAAAGATGACCTGATCAGAATTTGGAGGTCAAAGGTCACTGTGACCTCACAAAACATGATGTTGGACATTACTCAAGAGTTCATATGCTGAGTTTTAGTCCTGGTTCGACCCAATATTCACCTTTTTATAAAAAGGTTTATGAGCGGTCGAGAGCACTGTCATCAAGATAAGAGAAAAACATTTAATTTTTAATGTCCACAAATTGTTGTTGAACACAAAGAAAAATCAGTTTTATATTTGAGGAACATTTAAATAATGCATGAATAGCAGATAATTGACTTTAAATTGTGTTTTAAAGTAATTATACTGATTGGATTAATAAATTTCAGAGCTGAAGAAATATTAGTTGGTCCATTGGTCCAAATTACTGTAATTTCAGTGACTTTGTGTCTCTCTGCTGACCAGTGCTGAAATGTTACTGAGTACATTTACTCAAGTACTGTACTTAAGAACAACTTTGAGGAACTTTAACTTTACTTGAGTATTTTAAAATCTTGCTACTTCAGAGGGAAATATTGTACTTTTTAATCCACTGGTATTATTTGATAACTTTAGTTAGTATTTAGTTGTCTTGAGGATGTTGTACATGAAAGTGTAACTCAGTTTCTGCGCAGTGGTACTTTCCCCACAGCTCTTTAAACCACTGCTGTCAAACTCTTTCTAAAGAATTCTAGTACAGACCCTCAGGTTTTAAGAAACTTCAGACCTATTTCAAATCCACCTTTCATGAGTATAGGCTGGTGTCCCTACAGCTAAACAGTTATTTGAATTCACACTGTATTTCTGATCAATTTCAGTCAGGCTTTCGTTCCCATCACAGGACTGAAACAGCACTAGTAAAAGTTGTAAACGATGTTGGAATGAAACTTGATGGAGGACAGATTTCCGTTCTTGTCCTTGACTTAAAGGCAGCTTTCGACACCACTGATCACAGCGTCCTTCTCAACCGGCTCCATTCCAGTCTGATCATATCAGGCACAGTTCTAACCTGGTTCAAGTCTTTTCTGACAGGAAGAGACTACGTTGTGTCCCTGGGTCAGTCAGTGTCTTCTAAAATTGAGGTCACTTGTGGTGTCCCCCAGGGGTCCACTCTGGGACCCACTCTTTTTGATCTGTATATGTTGCCTCAGGGAAATATCATTAGAGAGCATGACATTTTTATTCCTATGCTGATGATACTCAGCTGTATATCTCATTCCCTTCAGATTTTAAATGAAGAGACAATATGAGATACATTTCAGATAATGTTGCAGCATGAGGCCCACTGTGTCACAAATGTACTTACTAATACAGACATGGTTGCACCAACCAGAGTTTTGTTTGTTCAGTGTGTTGCAGCTCCACCTGGAGGCTGCCTGTAGACCTGTATCATCACACCCCAGTCTCTGCTGTGCTGATCCTGGTGTGTCCTTATAGGGAGTGACGGTGTCAGAGCCTACGATATCTACATATCAGCTCTGTACTTATTCTGAATTCACATTATGATCCGTTCCACCTGAACTTGACTGAACTTTTCTTGTTGATAGCTGGTAGTTTCTCCAGAAGCTTCTGTGGCTGGAAGGTAAAAAAATCCTCTTTGTTTGTTTGTCCTTCAGGATCCATCAGAGACCAGACTCACCTGCACCCAGCTGTGTGTCCTTCAAAAGTGAC